GTATAACTATCCTATAATTTCATATTTGCTACCATTTATGCTGATTTAACATTTGGAAAGATTCGATCTACTAGCTCTGCTTATGCATCCAGTGAATCAGCATTAACAGTTGCAAATATCAAATCAAAAGACAGTCAACTTAACAGATTTCAAATATAAACAAGAGGAACATGGGCCTTATAGGTCACCTGAGTATCATGCAACAACTTTCCAACAATTGAAATTGATTCATGTTTTAAACCAGAGGCCATGAAATTCACAATTTTGAAAGAGGCACCATTGCTTATCATAATCATACACTCAGCATGCTTACTTTGGTTACTTAATACCCAGAGGTATCTCAGAGTAACAAAGAGAAAATGCATTTTCCACTTTATCAGTTGTGCACCCCATCCCACATGAACCACTGACCTTGGGGCCACATCTTTCAAAATTTTGGAAATTTTATAAATTTATTTCATCATATTGTTAATTAATACCAAAGTGCAGATTTCAAAGCATTAGATTATTTTCAGACTATGTATCCCCCCCAGTACCTCTGTCCCTGGGGCCATGAAATTAACCATTTTTGGAAGAAGCAGCTTTCTTCGTCATAAATATATACTAAGATCATTGGCATAATACCCAGGAACCAAGTAAAAGATTTTGATTCATGCATTTTCAATATATAAATATTAGAGCCCCACCCTAACACAAGAAGCCCTGACCCAGGGGCCCTGAAATTCACAAATCTCAATGAGGCATCCTTCCTCCTCATAACTATGTACATAGTACATTGGTTTAATACCCAGGTGCAGAAAAGAAGATTTTTAAAGAATTTATGCATTTTCACTATATAATCAATAGAGCCCCACCCTAACACCAGAACCCCCAACCCAGGGGCCTTGAAATTCAGAATTTTGGAATAGGCAGCCTTATGTAACAAAACTATGTACTTGGTTAGTTTACTGAATACTCAGGAGCAGAGAAGAAGATTTTCAAAGAAATAATTCATTTTTTACTATATAATCTATATAGCCCCGCCTAGCACTAGAACCCCTGACCCTAGGGCCATGAAATTCACAATTTTGAAAGAGGCAGCCTAATTCAACATAGCTATGCACTTGGTTAATTTATTTAATGACCATGAACAGAGAAGAAAAATTTCAAAGAATTTATGCATTTTCACTATATAATCTATTTAACCCCCCCCCCTCCCCAGCACTAGAACCCATGACCCTGGGGCCATTAGATTCACAATTTTAGAAAAGACAGCCTTATTCAACATAATTATGCACTTGGTTAGTTTATTTAATGCCCATAAACAGAAAAGTAGAGTTTCAAAGAATTTATGCATTTTCACTATATAATCTATATAGCCCCGCCCTAGCACTAGAACCCCTGACCCCGAGGTCATAAAATTCATAATTTTGAAAGAGGCAGCCATATTCAACATAACTATGTACTTATTTAGTTTATTTAATGCCCAGGAGTAGAGAAGGTTTACAAACAATCAATGCATTTTTAACTATATAATCTATTTAGCCCCGCCCTAGCACTAGAACCCCTGACCCCAGGGCCATGAATTTCACAATTTTGGTAGAGGACTCAATGCTGATTACAACCATGCCAACAGTTTGACTGCTTGATGTCCAGGAGTAAAGAAGAAGATTTTTAAAGATTGCACTAATTTTAGTGATTTTGGCCCCACCCCTCAGGCCCTAGGGGGGCAGGGATTATGAAATTCAAAATTTTTGTTCCCCTTCACCCATAGATGCTATATGCCAAATTTGGTTGAAATTGGTTCAGTGGTTTCAGAGAAGAAGCTGAAAATGTTCAAATGTTAACGCACGACGGACGACGCACACCCGCACGACGACGGACGAAAACAGATAGCAATAGGTCACCTGAGTTTACTCAGGTGACCTAAAAACTTTTGATTTTTTTTTCAAAGTAAATGTTTCTTTTTTTAATTTTTACCTTCTCCTAGTTTGTGGGACGCCATAACACCCTGCCTGTAAGACCCCAAACGTACACTGGTATCCCATCCTGGTCAAACACCGCAGGGCTAACTTCAGAACCATGCTACGCTTAAACGACACAAAGTTCCGCACGTTCTCCAGCAAAAAGAATCGGGGTCGATAATAATCACAGTAACTCAGATAGGAGGCAATCAGGGAATTCTGTTTAAAACAAACACTGATGTTACCCATTGCAGATTAAGGTTAAGGTTCAAGTCTTTCAGAACAACAAACTCAAAGGTCTAGGTTATATATGTCAAAACATTTGGAATCAAAAGGTAAGGTCCTTATACACTATTTTTTTTGTGTATGAGTCCAGTCGTTTTCCCTTTACTGTTATTACACCCGGTAATACTTATTAAACTGACTATTAACTGACCTTAAATCTGGAGTACTCGCGGGAGTTGAACCGGTTCATCCCGCTGAACCCCTGACAAGGGGGCCCCCCACACAGGAGCTCCACATCTCCTCTCTGGGGCAGCCTCTGACCTACATTATTCTTCTTCTCTCCCTGAAAATGGATCATTACAATGACTGTTCATGACTGATACACATTTCAGGTATGTATCTAAAGTACATCTAAAAGAATCCTCACGAAGTGATAATAAAGGCTAAAAATTGACATAGTGGGGGATTAGGTTTGAAATTGGTTTTATTACAAAAGTACAGTCTAACTTTACCAATAGAGCTGTATCCAAATGTCAACATCATGTCTATAAATAAATGGTTTTTTTTTAATGTAGGGACTATTAAAAAATAGCTACCAGAAGAGAATTAGAGAATGAAACTTTTGACAAAATGAGGGCAGAGTATTATTCATAATCGGTCTCCCCATGACCAACTTATTATATATCTATATGTTATGTGGCTATCTACAAAAGAAGTGTGTTGGTGTAAGAACTGTTATTTTAATTTGCTTGACTTAATTGATCTTCCTACACAAAATTCACGCCACCATTTTCTTAATTATCATTTCTATATTTATGTAATTTTTCCATGCTTACCTAAAAAAAAAAAAGTTCAAAAGAACAGCTATAAAAGTAGAGGTATATAACCCATAAATTTCTATTTAATTCATTAAATACCTCCATAACAAGCTTTAGCAGGTCATTGCAGTCATCCGTGAACACCGTACAGCCCGGGTTATTGAGGCGGAACGCCTGGGCAGCTGGTTCCTCTTTCTCTATTGCCCAGCAGGATTCGGCGACGCCTGCCTGATGGAACCCTTCTGATATACCTAAAGATACAAATGTTATTATGCAAAAATAATCACAAAGTCACCTTTATATCCCCAGTAAATTATTTCCAGGCTTATTTCCAACTGCATATCAATAGATACCTCCACATCCAGCGAACACATCCAGAGTGCGAAGTCTTTTGTAGTCCACTTTCTTAGGTTCTGTTGATTCCTCTTCTACTGTGGGTGCAGAACTTTTACCCTTGCCCTTGCCTTTCCCTTTACCCTGCCAAATCATAAAGACACATGAGATAGAAGTCGGAAAATAATTCCAAATTTTACGCTGCCCCAACACATAAGCAAATAAAACAGGACAACTAATTTTACTTTGCCCCAACACAAAGGCAAATAAAACAGGAGAGCAAAGCTTTGTCCCACCAAGAAGGCACAATTAAACAAGTACACATTTTTGACTTGACTTCCACCCAAAATTAATGGCTAAAACAGTAAACAAGCTAATTCAGAGAATTTGTGTCCCCCGCTTAGAGAAAAGTAACGGGGGGGGGGGGGGGGGGAGATCAAGGGTTCGGATCCCCTTGACATAATTTGTAGAATTATCAAATGTATACTGAAGCATATAAAATATGCCAATATGGATATAAAGGTTTGATTGATTATTCTTTATCATATGTGTAGAAGATTCTTTTTATATGGAATATTTATCACACTGTAATGATGATTTTATGAGTTTGTACAAGCCAGACCTCATAAATTTTTCATTTATTTTGCTGAACTATCATTTAGTAGAAAAAAAAGAATTTTGAAAAAAAAAAATGGATAGTTCGGGACGCGATCCCGGGCCCTCTCACATGTGAAGCGAGAGACATACCACTAGACCACGGAGCCGCTTTAATATGCAGTGCTCCAAGTCAGACTTGCTCTTAAGTCGCAAAATGGCGACCTAAAATTTTCTTTGGTCGCCATTTCAGAATTTCTGGTCGCCATAATCAAATATTTCACTCGCCATAAAAAAAATTCATTTTGTGAATAAAACTTGATAATTTAAATACGGATATGTATTATGTCTTTATTATATCAAAGATTACTTATTACTGAATATAAAAATTTGCTAGGTTGAATGAATTATTTTTATTGAATACATGTACCCTTATGGTTATACAGAAGAACACAAGTAATCCGATTGCAGAAATAAAATTTTATCAAACGAAAATACAAGCTTGACAGCTTTTGAGACAGGACTTTGCCTGCTGTTTGTCATGTTTACTTACTACTACGTACCCAGGTACCTAACCCATTACGCAGTCATTATAAATGCCACCAAAACACTCTTTAATAGCAAAATTCATTGTGATATGCAAGCAATTGACCAAATGCTTCAATAACAAGGTCGGATCTTAGAAAGTTTACGAAGTTTGGATGCCATTCTATCAGGAACATTATTTATACACGTCTCTGATTCTATCAAACTTTGTACAGCATGCTGCCATAACATTATGTGATCTAAGTCCATGCGACGCTTTGCAAAGTATGTTAAAGTATAAGTCTTCAAACAATTTCTTGATAGAGAATCTTTACAAATGAAATCTCGATCCCGATCTTAAAAATGGACGTTTCCAGCCCAAATTTTCTCAGTCGCGAAAATGCGAGTGTGTTTTCATTTTTACTCGCAAAATCAATTTTTGAGTCGCAAATGCGACCATTTTAGTCGCAACTTGGAGCACTGATATGGCGGAAATTGTATACAAACATGAAGTGACATACATGTATATATTCACGTTTGATATTGTCAAAATTTTATACAATGTATTGTGTCTAATTAAACTTTTATTAAACAGTTCTAATAGATGTAATAAGAATATAAAGTCCACCTGTTTTATACGTAATAATTCTCCTCATGCCCCTGTGCTAAAAATAGCGACATGTAATAAATAAATACTAATAAAACAAACGGGGCGGGACACTTGGAGAGGGGTGAGAGAGGTCCTAGGGAGTTTTGGTATAAAATTACATTGCAAAAGCTTAAAATCTTCTTGAAATATCGCGCGAAAATGATAGTGTTTCATACAAACAGAATGTATAAATTTACGACCTTGAACTTTGACCTTTTGACCTCAAAATCAATTGGGGTCTTCCTTAGACCTCAGGGAGTTGTTATGTAAAATTTCATTGCAAAAGCTCAAAGGGTTCTCGAGATACCGCGCGGAAACGAAAGAGTTATAACAGACAGACATTGCGAATTTATGACCTTGACCTTGAACCTTTTGACCTCAAAATCAATAGGGGTCTTCTTTAATCCATGGGGAGTTGCTATGCAAAATTTCATTGCGAAAGCTCAAAGGGTTCTCGAGATATCGTGTGGAAACGAAAGCTTTACAGACAGATAGAAAGACGGACAGACCCAAATTAATATAACAAACTCCGTCCTCCAGCCTATCCTTTTAAAAAGGCACAATGACACTCCCACATTTACCCAAAACCATTAATTAAACAGGAGACACATTTCCCAAGTTGTAGCAATCAGTCTTTCTCACTGTAGTTATACAATATATAATTCATGTCAGATAATTTCGTTGAAATACTAAATTCAAGTGGTTTAAGATACAAAGAAATCACATTTGCTCCACATGTTAAATAATTCAAAACTTTCAAATATTCTTACCTTTCCTCCTGAAACCCTGGCTTGTCGTGGTGGTTCTTCGAACATCTTGGACTCTGAATCATAGGCCTAAAATAATACAGCAAGAAATAGGTACCATGTGTTACAGAAGGAGGTGTACAAACACCCCAATTACTAGGTACCCTCCTGCTTTTCATGCACTGGGATTTAATTAAATATCATATCGATTTCATTCATCAAATGAAACGTACCTCAGTAAAGTAGAACCTGTCGAGGCCGTCCGAGAAGTACTCCTCTAGACTCTTCAGATTCTCGCTGTACACGACCTGACACTTCCCCTTCACCAACTTAAAGTCCGCCACAGCCTCTGATATCATCAAGGAAAAAGATTAATACAAGGCCTTAAAGAGGAATCAAACTTAAATATAGAATGTCAGTGTTTTCCCTAAGAACCGGCAACCGGCCAAATTGACCGCTTCAATAGACAAAAATGCCGCTTTGAAATAATAATTTGTTGTAAGGTCCACAGAGATTTTGTTCATAAACCTCATACCCTAGACTTTTACAACTGATCTCTAACCCTTTACTTTGAAATAAAAGGAAAACACTGGAATGTCTGTACTGACATATAAATCTATTGATTATTTACTTGTTGGGGTAAACAATATATGGGAGGAATAATTTTATATTTTCTACAATAAATATTAGTTTCTCAGGAATATATTTAGCAAAATGAAATTTCTAGCTCGATGAGTAAATCTTGGATTAGGTAAATTAAATTTAAAATATATTTTAGAGCCAAGGGGAATAAAAATCACTTCATTATAAGCATCTGTTCGTTCTAAGAGTGTTGTACTGTAGGTGTAAAATTGAACACAATAGCCGTACAACCTTACCAAAATATAAAACCCTATTCAAGATATATATCATTATTATACATGTACATGTTAACACAATGGCCATACAACTTTTCAGTTCACTGTGATGGGTTTCTTTGCATTTTACGTTTGTTACAGGATAAACTGTGAAGACCCTGACCTTCATCTGACCAGTAGAGCATGTTGAGGTCCGTGTGGTACCCTGCCCGGGGTCCTTTGTGGGTGTCCTCTGGTCTACAACATCAAACAACACTGTAGTCATCTAAGTATATATTTATATAAGATATCAGTTACTGATCAAAGTTTTGGATAGGCATAGTTGAATAAAATATAGAAAATTCAAAATAAACTGGCAAGTTTAAGGATTTACCCCTCACCTGTAGAACTTTCCCACCTTGACCTTGATTTCCCCGAGGTTGACAATCTTTGACCCTGGGGATTTCTTACAGAAGATTTCCAGTATCCTCCCAATCTTGTAGGGCTCAGGGAGGGACTCATTGGAGCCTTTAATGTACTCCCCCTTCCTATAGGCCTCAGGGTAGAGATCTTCATCTACCTGTAATATTTACCTGTATATTCAGGTGTGCACACTTTTGTCCGTGGATTGAAAATTGCATGAATACAGCCAAGAGTGCATATGGAAATTATTTTGGGACCAAGTGTTAAAATAATTTTGAAAGCTTGTTGATAGAACAATTTTCATTTGCTGAAAATATCACTTTTATTTACAGGACGTTACCTCTTTCCTTTCGGATTTGACCTTCTTGACTGGTGGTTGTTTGACATTAAATCCAAACGCGCTGGGCTCGATGTAACAACAGTCGCCGATTCTGAGCTGGAATCCATCCCGAGACACACTACTGTAGAACGTCTTAGTGGACGAGGAATCTTCACGTTTTATCTCCTCTCCCAGTGATGGATTCTCCTTCTGATGATTTAAAATGAAATTCTTATAAAATGAAAGGCTCAATTAAAAGTTTACTTTGAAAACAATTTCATTTAAAATATTAAACCTTAAAATATTTCCTTTCATTACATCTTTACAAAAAAAATTTAATGTTTGTTTGCTGTAAAATTGAAACAGGAATACAATGAGCATGAATACGCTACCTAAATAATCTTTTATGCTATATATGTGTGTTCGGTTTTACATGCCTACCTTTATTAAATTAAAAAAAAATGGCCTCTAGCACATTTGAGACATAAAATATGTCAACTTAGTGTACATTTACCTTAAATATAAAGAGTTTTCATTATTGTAACAACAGTTTCCCCCCAACTTTCTGGTTCGTCATACCGCTAGGCAGCCATTTTGGATGCCATGTTGGGTGTCCACTGTAAATTTAACACCTGGTATTTTCACAGGAAACTCAACGACATCATTACCTAAAATATACACAGATAAAGAGAAATACTTCTTTTAATTCTGACTATCCTAGATTTTTTGGGAATGTTAATAGGAAACAAACTTATTTTTTTTTAAGCCTTACACAAGGACATTAATGAATAATTTGAAAATTTTTTTAAGAATACACTGGGCATGAATACGCTACCTAAATAATCTTTTATGCTATATAAGCTTGTTCGGGTTTACATTCCTACCTTTCTGAGTTGATCCAGCCTCTCACAGCTCAGACAGAACTTATGATGCTTTGTGTTCTCGGGCTTATCAAAAAAAAAAAGGTTTGGAGCAGTCTTCAAATGTGTATCTGGGTCATACCTAGGAAAAACATATATAGTCAAGTTGTGTCCTTGTGTATGAGGGTGCAACAAAATTTTAGACCCAAATATAATCTGCTTTGAGGGGAAAACTCTACAATAAAATTGTAACTTTAAATAAAAATTGATTAATTAACTAACCTTACAGTAAATATTAACATTTTCTAGTCAACATTGATACAACATGTGTGACTGTCAACATATATATAGAACATGTATAAATGTGTCCATTTTTGATAGAAAAACAATACAAACATCGTCTTCAGGGGAACTCCTCCTCTGGGTGCTCTATTCCTCCCATCATGTTCCAGTCAGGGGGCGTGTCCTTATGTAGGACCTGAAAAACAGAACAAAACATATATAGAGCAGTTAGGGGGTGTGTCCTTGTGTAGATTCTACAGAACAAAACAAACACGTATAACAATCTGGCAATCATATCTACATGTCTTAAAAAAATTGAAAAAAAAAAACAACTTCATTACTATTCAAGGTGTACTGTATGTTTTCAATTTTTAATAACCATACAACTTACAGTCACTTTCTTGAGAGCTGATTCTAGTTTTATGCTTTCACAGTCATCAATAAAGAAGAGTTCCAATGGATCAGCTGTTTCACCCAGTAATGTATCACTTCCTCTACTGTAAAACAGTATAAAAGATTTATTTTAAATGCTAAAGGATTTGAAATTTTACATAATTTGTTTTGCTTTTTTTCCCTTAAAATCAAAAATTGCTGGAAAATCTAGAATAAATGATTTTGTTTGTTAAAAAAATCTTCCACGGTCTTGCGTTCTACAGATATATTAAAGATGAAAATGATCTAACCATAGCCACTGAGCATGACACATCTTGTTGCCGCTGGCATTTTCCCAAAGGTAATTCACCTTGGCAATGTACACAGGTATGGATAAATCCTCAGGTTTGATGGAAATAAAATCCCCCAGGCTTACCTGTTAAAAAATCAAGAATTGAACATGTATTAAATTGGGGACCCTTTTGACAGTTTTAATTGATCAATTATCATTCTGGGATAATTTCAAATTTAATGGTGGTGTTATTTTTCTAAAAAGCAGAAATTATGACAAAAGCAGAAACTTTGTGGTGACAGTGGCAGGGGCAGTAACTACAGTTAGTTTATTTTGAGCTTGCTGTGAAGAATCTCTGCTTTTCTTTTCCTACCTGTTCATCATTGATCATCACGGCAGAGTAATAGGTATTCTTCCCATCCTCATGTATTGCTTCACCAACCCAGGAAAGTTTGGTCTGTAAATAACAAAATTATTCTATAAATATTCAGGAAAAAACTTCAGTTTTATGGAATATTATTAAAAACATCCATATTTTTTAGTTCTAAACTTTGGTAATGTTAAGAACAAACACTCACATAGAATGTAAAGAACATTTACCTTTGTATTGAGGACTGTCTTGTGTTTCTTTATTGGTGTTGTCTCTTTGTCTTCTTTCTGTGATGAAAAATATACACCAAAGTCAATTCTATATCTTATGTTCAGCATCAGATTACTTGTACACTCGAGTTACAGATTCAGTTTACCAAGCTTTAACTGACCACATTTAACTTATCATCTGTATCATCGTCATCTAGAATATCGTCTTCATCAGCCTCCTTCATCGCCATGTTTGGACATCTACAAAATCAAAACTTTTACTTTGTCCTCAAGCTCGTATGGTGCCTCAGTAAAAGAAATAGATTAGTAAGAGAAAAATTTTTACTTCAGATATTAGTAGAAAGCTTTCCAAACTAATGTTGCATTAAATATTGATGCAAATATTCAGTTCAACAGGTTTATCCCTCACCTCCTGTTGATACAAGCCTGTTTAGCTCGCCCGGATCCTCCAAACTTGACCATATCCTTACAAGCAGCACATTTCCCACAGTCTGGCTGTTGACAGATCTATCGGAGTATATAATATACATGTATTAATGTCTCTATTTGTTACAAATCATCCCACATTTTTAGGGGGTGGTATAAAATTTAAAGTCATAGATTAAACAAACAGAAAGACTTACCTCACAGATGCCACACCTGCGTCTTTTAGATTTCTGTCCACTTTTATCATCAATCTCCCCCTGGAACATGCTGTCAAATATCTGGGTCACCAGCCTCGTTGTGGTGGCCATGGTGAAGGCTGGCTTCTTCACTTTCTCTTTGGTCTTCCTCAACTCTTTCCTCATCTGACGCCTGAAGCAGAGAAACAAATTTGTCCTTCATACACATGTATGTCATAACATATCTGAATTTCTAGTGTCTAACTTCTTTTTCATGTGCTAAGGCATATGTCCAAGTTTGTCCCTTTCCTTGAGATTTGTTTTCTATATTCATTCAAAGAATTTTTTTGGTATGCTTTGCTACATAGAAGTATTGCTAGATACCGTTTTCCGAGGGTGACCCCGGCCAGTTTGATGAGGGCTCTCATGCAGGGTGTCGTGATGAGTAATCCTTCATCATCCTCTGCTGCTTCATCATAACTCTGCACCTGAAAGTTAAAATCATGTCAACAGCCTGGTGGTAAAACAACAGTCAACAGCAGTGGAATCTCATCAACAAAGCTTTGTATCTTTATACATAAGCAAGACAGAATGGTGCTTACCTGATCCAGTACAAACTGGGCGTGTCTCAATAATGAGTCTTCAGTGAGACTGGACAGTCCAGTAGGGGGCACTGTGGTCTAGGAAGTAAAATATAAACATTGGTAATCCAGGAAAAAGTCTCCAAGGCTCTTCATGACTTGAATAAATCTTTTGAAAGCGAGCTAAATACAGTGTGATGGACGGATAGATGGCAGGACATTGAAGGATTTGACAAACACTGAATGCCTCTGCCATAGAAAACTACCACGCATATTATTTTAATGCATGACCTTGTGAGTGGCATCGTACCTGTATTTTGTTGAGGAGATCCTCGTATGTAGCCTCTTGGTTGTTCTGAAGAAATTCAATGACCACTTTACTCATGTGAATCTTCTCCCTCATCGTGTCCATATACGGTTGATAGGCCTCACTGGGGGACATCAAGATGTACTCCGCATAGCCTAAAAATAGACAAGAGGCCCATGGGCCTTATAGGTCACCTGAGCATTATGCAACAACTTTCCAGTGATTAAATTTAATTCATCATAACAATTCACTTAGCAGTTGCTTAGTTTGTTTACTCAATACCCATACACAAGGTAGGGGAACAAAAAATGCATTTCAACTAATCAGTTATATTCAGCAATAATCAGTAGTGCCCCTACTACACATGAACCCCTGACCCTTAGGCCTTGATATTTGATTAATACCAAGGAGCAAATTTCAAACCATTCATTCATTTTCAGTATATAAGTACACACCCCCATATTACCCCTGACCCTGGGGCCTTGAAATTCACAATTCTGGAAGATTAGGGCCCTTGTAGATAATAACTATATAGGTACTTCATCTGCTTAATACCCTAGAGCAGAGAAGAAAATTTTTAAAGATTTAATGAATTTTCACTACTGTAAATCACTTAATTTTCGCGACACCTTATTTTCGCGAGATAGTCGTTGACTCTTTATTACCGAGACAAAATTTTCACGAATTGTGGTCATTGCTTTATATAATCTTAAGGAATTCTGTTATACGCGAGAATGAAATTTTCGCGAGCATGCCGTCACGCGTAATTACGCGAAAATAAAGTTCTCGCGAATAAAAAGTGATATACAGTATATAATCTATAGAGCCCCGCCCTAACACCAAAACCCGACCCTGGGGCCATAAAATTCATAATTTTGGTAGAGGCACTCTTGCTCATCATAATTATGCACTTAGTTAGTTTATTTAATACCCAGGAGCAATGAAGAAGATTTTCAAAGAATTCCTGTATTTTCACTATATAATCAATAGAGCCCCACCCTAACACCAGAACCCCTGACCCTGGGGCCATAAAATTCACAATTTTGGTTGAGGCACTCTTGTTCATCATAACTATGCACTTAGTTAGTTTATTTAATACCCAGGAGCACAGAAGAAGATTTTGAAAGAATTCGTGTATTTTAACTACATAATCTATCGAGCCCCCCCCCCCCCCAGCACTAGAACCCCTGACCCTGGGGCCATAAAATTCACAATTTTGGTAGAGGCACTCTTGCTCATTATAACTATGCACTTAGTTTATTTAATACCCAGGTGCAGAGAAGATTTTCAAAGAATTCATGTATTTTCACTATATAATCAAAGAGCCCCCCCCCTAATACCAGAACCCCTTATCCTGGGGCCATAAAATTCACAATATTGGTAGAGGCACTCTTGCTCACCATAACTAGGCACTTAGTTAGCTTATTTAATACCCAGGAGCAGAGAAGAAGATTTTCAAAGAATTCATGTATTTTCAATATATAATCAATAGAGCCCCGCCCTAACACCAGAACCCCTGACCCTGGGGCCATAAAATTCACAATTTTGGTAGAGGCACTCTTGCTCATCATAATTATATACTTAGTTAGTTTATTTAATACCCAGGAGCAGAGAAGAAGATTTTCAAAGAATTCATGTATTTTCACTATATAATCAATAGAGCCCCACCCTAACACCAGAACCCCTGACCCTGGGGCCATAAAATTCACAATTTTGGTAGAGGCACTCTTGCTCATCATAACTATGTACTTAGTTAGTTTATTTAATACCCAGGAGCAGAGAAGAAGATTTTCAAAGAATTCATGTATTTTCACTATATAATCAATAGAGCCCCACCCTAACACCAGAACCCCTGACCCTGGGGCCATAAAATTCACAATTTTGGTAGAGGCACTCTTGCTCATCATAACTATGTACTTAGTTAGTTTATTTAATACCCAGGAGCAGAGAAGAAGATTTTCAAAGAAATAATGCATTTTCACTACCTACTTATTTAGCCCCGCCCTAGCACTAGAACCCCTGACCCCAGGGCCATGAATTTCACAATTTTGGTAGAGGACTCATTGCTGATTACAATCATGCAACCAGTTTGACTGCTTGATGCCCAGGAGTAAAGAAGAAGATTTTTAAAGATTGCATTAATTTTAGTGGTTTTGGCCCCACCCCTCAGGCCCCTGGGGGGCAGGGATCATGAAATTCACAATTTTTGTTCCCCTTCACCCATAGATGCTTTGTGGCAAATTTGGTTGAAATTGGTTCAGTGGTTGCAGAGAAGAAGCTGAAAATGTTCAAATGTTAACGCACAACGCACGACGCACGACGACGGACGAAAACGGATAGCAATAGGTCACCTGAGTTTACTCAGGTGACCTAAAAAATCTTAATCTCTAGTTTCAATGATTTCTTCTAGGGAAATCCAGAATGCATTCCACATAGCCTAAATAAGTAGAAATCTTAATAAACATGGAATGATAGATTGTTCTCCTTATAGCCTTAATATACAGAAATCTTAATCTATAGGGATTGTCAGAATACAAAGTGCATAGCCTATTTGTCTCAATCAGGCAAGATAAGCCACTGTAGGATCTCAAGTTACTTTGGAATGAACTCACTCAAATTCTTAAACCTGGTCCCTGATCCAGGAAATGTAGGTTATATCCATTCAAAGTATGTCATGGAGTGCACATCTAAGAATCCACAATCTATGTAAACTAAGTCAAGTTAGAGTTTATACTTTATTTGGGAATGAAATTGCTCCTAAATTTTTAACAAGAATGCTGATGCCAGAGGTATAACTTAAGGTCATCATCCACAATCTACGGAAAAGTGGGATATCGAATCAAATTACACATGGCCAACATTTTATTACCTATACAGTTTTACCCTTTACCTGTTATTTAAACCTTTAACTATGCTATGACCCTGTAGTACTCTAACATTTTATTACCTATACAGTTTTACCCTTTACCTGTTATTTAAACCTTTAACTATGCTATGACCCTGTAGTACTCTAACATTTTATTACCTATACAGTTTTACCCTTTACCTGTTATTTAAACCTTAACTATGCTATGACCCTGTAGTACTCTAACATTTTATTACCTATACAGTTTTACCCTTTACCTGTAATTTAAACCTTTAACTATGCTATGACCCTGTAGTACTCTAACATTTTATTACCTATACAGTTTTACCCTTTACCTGTTATTTAAACCTTTAACTATGCTATGACCCTGTAGTACTCTAACATTTTATTACCTATACAGTTTTACCCTTTACCTGTTATTTAAACCTTAACTATGCTATGACCCTGTAGTACTCTAACATTTTATTACCTATATATGTAGTTTTACCCTTTACCTGTTATTTAAACCTTTAACTATGCTATGACCCTGTAGTACTCTAACATTTTATTACCTATACAGTTTTACCCTTTACCTGTTATTTAAACCTTTAACTATGCTATGACCCTGTAGTACTCTAACATTTTATTACCTATACAGTTTTACCCTTTACCTGTTATGTAAACCTTTAACTATGCTATGACCCTGTAGTACTCTAACATTTTATTACCTATACAGTTTTACCCTTTACCTGTTATGTAAACCTTTAACTATGCTATGACCCTGTAGTACTCTAACATTTTATTACCTATACAGTTTTACCCTTTACCTGTTATGTAAACCTTTAACTATGCTATGACCCTGTAGTACTCTAACATTTTATTACCTATACAGTTTTACCCTTTACCTGTCATTTAAACCTTTAACTATGCTATGACCCTGTAGTACTCTAACATTTTATTACCTATACAGTTTTACCCTTTACCTGTTATTTAAACCTTAACTATGCTATGACCCTGTAGTACTCTAACATTTTATTACCTATATATGTAGTTTTACCCTTTACCTGTTATTTAAACCTTTAACTATGCTATGACCCTGTAGTACTCTAACATTTTATTACCTATACAGTTTTACCCTTTACCTGTTATTTAAACCTTTAACTATGCTATGACCCTGTAGTACTCTAACATTTTATTACCTATACAGTTTTACCCTTTACCTGTTATGTAAACCTTTAACTATGCTATGACCCTGTAGTACTCTAACATTTTATTACCTATACAGTTTTACCCTTTACCTGTTATGTAAACCTTTAACTATGCTATGACCCTGTAGTACTCTAACATTTTATTACCTATACAGTTTTACCCTTTACCTGTTATGTAAACCTTTAACTATGCTATGACCCTGTAGTACTCTAACATTTTATTACCTATACAGTTTTACCCTTTACCTGTCATTTAAACCTTTAACTATGCTATGACCCTGTAGTACTCTAACATTTTATTACCTATACAGTTTTACCCTTTACCTGTTATTTAAACCTTAACTATGCTATGACCCTGTAGTACTCTAACATTTTATTACCTATATATGTAGTTTTACCCTTTACCTGTTATTTAAACCTTTAACTATGCTATGACCCTGTAGTACTCTAACATTTTATTACCTATACAGTTTTACCCTTTACCTGTTATTTAAACCTTTAACTATGCTATGACCCTGTAGTACTCTAACATTTTATTACCTATACAGTTTTACCCTTTACCTGTTATGTAAACCTTTAACTATGCTATGACCCTGTAGTACTCTAACATTTTATTACCTATACAGTTTTACCCTTTACCTGTTATGTAAACCTTTAACTATGCTATGACCCTGTAGTACTCTAACATTTTATTACCTATACAGTTTTACCCTTTACCTGTTATGTAAACCTTTAACTATGCTATGACCCTGTAGTACTCTAACATTTTATTACCTATACAGTTTTACCCTTTACCTGTCATTTAAACCTTTAACTATGCTATGACCCTGTAGTACTCTAACATTTTATTACCTATACAGTTTTACCCTTTACCTGTTATGTAAACCTTTAACTATGCTATGACCCTGTAGTACTCTAACATTTTATTACCTATACAGTTTTACCCTTTACCTGTTATTTAAACCTTTAACTATGCTATGACCCTGTAGTACTCTAACATTTTATTACCTATACAGTTTTACCCTTTACCTGTTATTTAAACCTTAACTATGCTATGACCCTGTAGTACTCTAACATTTTATTACCTATACAGTTTTACCCTTTACCTGTTATTTAAACCTTTAACTATGCTATGACCCTGTAGTACTCTAACATTTTATTACCTATACAGTTTTGCCCTTTACCTGTTATTTAAACCTTTAACTATGCTATGACCCTGTAGTACTCTAACATTTTATTACCTATACAGTTTTACCCTTTACCTTTTATGTAAACCTTTAACTATGCTATGACCCTGTAGTACTCTAACATTTTATTACCTATACAGTTTTACCCTTTACCTGTTATTTAAACCTTTAACTATGCTATGACCCTGTAGTACTCTAACATTTTATTACCTATACAGTTTTGCCCTTTACCTTTTATTTAAACCTTTAACTATGCTATGACCCTGTAGTACTCTAACATTTTATTACCTATACAGTTTTACCCTTTACCTGTTATGTAAACCTTTAACTATGCTATGACCCTGAAGTACTCTACCCTTTCCACAATACCAGGTACCACTTACCCGTCCTGTGTACTTCATTATAGATGATTACCTGTACTAAATCCAATGAGAGCATTTTCCCCTCCATCAAATCCTGCTGTCCACCATTCATTGATTGGACCCAACTTACAAGCTGGTATGCCCCCTTAAATATCAATATAGATGTACTTAATTTCACAAGAGACATAATCAGGGAAAGATATGCTAAATAGAGGATTATACCGGACAAGTGGAGTACCGTATAGCAGATTTTCTTGGCAGATGTAAAATTTAGCGTTTTGACTGCTCAAAGGTAAGCCAATAATTTCAGCGTAATTTATTTTAACGGACACTGGGTTTCTGCTCTTTCCAGATGGACACTTAAAAGAGTACTTACTATTTTAGCTATGAAAATTTTCTCAGACTATCATCCAAATGCCAAAATAAGCCAAAATTAGCACCCCGCTAAAATAACCTGTTATGCGTTAATGGTACACAAATTTAGCAGTACATCCTTAAAATCAAATAAAAATCAATAAACATATTTTAGCAAGAAGCAAATGCCAAAATTGAATCCTTGCTATAAATTCTGCTTATTCAGTAAAACGTTTAATATAATGTGATAGTTACCCTCTGGACTGGAGTTTTCATCATAGATGGGTTTAACAACTCCACTGAAGTAAAGGTATATGTTCTTCTCTATTAGCCCCGTGTCAAATGGACAAAGGTGGGTGTTCTTATCATATACACTGAAAGGACAAGATAATTTCAAAATCTTTTAAATAAGTCTGCATTATCTGAGATTTTCGTTCTATTTTTATCATCAGACAACAGACCGGTCTTCAGTTTTACCTGAAGTTTGTGATTTTATGTTGAGGTCTCTGATCGTAGCTGTGAATTTCTTCCTCTTCCCCAGTAAACACAGAAAGCTTTGGATCAGTCAGGGCTATAAATTCTTCTACCTTAATAAAATCATACATGAAAATTCTTACAAATATGAATTTTTGTTAATCTAATTCTGTTTCTTGCATTCGTCTTTGGGAAACCAGCACTGTTCTCTAAAACTTCCTTCTATTTTTTATGTTTGTCAATTTTTAAAACGCTTAATAAATGCATTAAGGACATACTGCTGTATCGGGGTCTCCTGGAAACATCCTCAGATCCGGGTCGTCCAGTAACTGTTTACATTCCCGACACTTGGCAGGTGGTGCTTTAGGTTTGGCAGGGGGAGCTTTAGGTCTGGTCTTTTCTTCTACATTCTTTTCATCTCTAAAGATATATTTTAATTCAAAATAATTTTCTGTAGGAAAAATATTAAGGTTTTTTTAATGATATTCAAATTATAAAAGCACTGCAATATTTCCTTAACAAGAGGCCCATGGGCCACATCGCTCACCTGAGAAGCTTTGACCATTCTGTTCTTTACCAGATTATCCCCTTGTAATACATATTGTGACCCCACTCTATCCCACTAATCATAATTTAGACAATTTGAAATCTACACTACCCGAGGATGCTTCCACATAAGTTTCAGCTTTTCTGGCCCAGCGGTTCTTGAGAAGAAGATTTTTAAAGATTTTTCCTATATATTTCTATGTTAAACTTTGATTCCCCATTGTGGCCCCGCCCAACCCCCGGGGGTCATGATTTGAACAATTTAGAATCTACACTACCCCAGGATGCTTCCACATAAGATTCAGCTTTTCTGGCTCAGTGTTTCTAGAGAAGAAGATTTTAAAGATTTTTCCTACATATTTCTATGTAAAATTTTGATTCCCCATTGTGGCCCCGCCCAACCCCCGGGGGTCATGATTTGAACAATTTAGAATCTACACTACCCCAGGATGCTTCCATATAAGTTTCAGCTTTTCTGGCCCAGTGATTCTTGAGAAGAAGATTTTTAAAGATTTTTCCTATATATTTCTATGTAAAACTTTGATTCCCCATTGTGGCCCCGCCCAACCCCCGGGGGTCATGATTTGAACAATTTAGAATCTACACTACCCCAGGATGCTTCCACATAAGTTTCAGCTTTTCTGGCCAAATGGTTCTTGAGAAGAAGATTTTTAAAGATTTTTCCTATATATTTCTATGCAAAACTTTGATTCCCCATTGTGGCCCCGCCCAACCCCCGGGGGTCATGATTTGTATAATTTAGAATCTACACTACCCCAGGATGCTTCCACATAAGTTTCAGCTTTTCTAGCCAAATGGTTCTTGAGAAGAAGATTTTTAAAGATTTTTCCTATATATTTCTATGTAAAACTTTGATTCCCCATTGTGGTCCCGCGCAACCCCTGGGGGTCATGATTTGAACAATTTAGAATCTACACTACCCCAGGATGCTTCCACATAAGTTTCAGCTTTTCTGGCCCAGTGGTTCTTGAGAAGATTTTTTAATGACCCCACCCTATTTTTGTCTTTTCTTGATTATCTCCCCTTGTGAGGGGACCTGGCCCTTCATTTTTATAATTTAAACTCCCCTTTACCCATGGATGCTTTGTACCAAGTTTGGTTAAAATTGGCCCAGTGGTTCTTGAGAAGAAGTCGAAAATGAGAAAAGTTTACAGACGGACGGACAGACAGACAGCTAGACAGACGGACGGACGGACGACGGACAAAATGTGATCAGAAAAGCTCACTTGAGCCTTCGGCTCAGGTGAGCTAAAAATTCAAAGCATGAGAGATAGAGTCTAAAACCAACTACGCCCTGATAAAGCAGCCTCACCCCTCCAGGTCCACGGTTTCTCCATCCTCTAACTTTGCTTTCTTCACCTCCTTCTCCTGGTCAGGGACAGCAACAGTCTCATCATCAGCCATAGACTTTCTCTTCCCGGGGCTTCAACAAGATAAAATTTTGGTCATTATTTCCTTCTACACTGTTCACTTCTGACGATTCAAACATCAGCCCCAGTAAATAGAATACTAAAATAAAACCCTCACGTTCTGGAAAACATGGCAGTTATTGATGGCTGGTTTGATGTTTTCTTTGACTTTTTGTTTCTCTTTGACTTGGCTGGTGTACCTAGGAAAGGGAATTAACTCGTAACTAACCAACAGTCTACGCGAAAGTTAAAAATTTTTACAGGACAAAATGTCTGGTAAAAATAAATTTTTTACCAGACCAAACAATTTTTTACCAGACCAACTTTTTTTTCCTGTAAATGTATTTTTTTCTTCATATTTGACTTATACAACATACACTGTATCAAAGATTTTCTTAAATTTAATATTCACTTTAATGCATATTTATTTTTCCTGAAACAATTCATTATGGTTACTCAAGTTCAATGATCATTTGAAAATAATTTCCCAACTGAATCATCTAAATATTTTCCCAACCAAATCTACGTATGAGCTATCTAAATATCTCTAATCTTTGACAGAGGAAATTCAAATTAGAATAAAAACGATCGTGACATAGTAGTAATACATAAAAAATAATCAGGTACTAGGGGCTGCTAAATTGGTGAAATAAAGGATATTTGTGGGGAATTTGACCATGTGTATCTCTTAATTTAGATTTATATGGCCTTATTTGTTATCAGACATTTGGTCCTGTACAATGAATTTTTTTACTGACCCGACCTTAATTTTACCAGTAAAAACCGACGGTCCGGTGACTTTCGCATAGACTGAACCAATGAATAAAGTTTTTTTCCTGGAGGGATAATTTTTTTTCTAGAGAGAGGAAAAAAAATCAAACAAAGCAAAGTGAAAATTAAAACAGGACTTACTTTTACTCTCTTCAACCTCCATCTCTTCCTGCAAACCAATTAAATTACAAGAGAATGAATTCATAATGGGAGCAATTTCACATTATCGTAAAATATTTCACTACTTATACAATCACCTCATTTCTCTCACAGTCATCTTCAGCCTGTGAATCTTCTTCTTTTGATGAGTCTCCATTTTTGGTTTCTGTTTTGGACTCATCTGCAGGCTTGCTATTAGTTCCAGGCTTAGTATCAGGTTTGTACTCCGGCTTGGTCTCTGAGTCTTCCTCTGAAGCTTTGTCCCCGTTCCCCTGGTTACTTTGATCCCCGCTCCCCTGTTTACTTTGATCCCCGTTCTGCTGTTTACTTTGATCCCCGTTCCTGTGGTCTCCATTCTCACAGTCCACCAGGCCATTCCCCGTCTTCTTACTGGATCCTCCCGTCTCTATCATCATCCCATTTTCACTGTCGTACACTTTATCAAACACCTTCTTTAGATTCTTGAAGTATCCCTTCTGCAGTGGTAAAAAATATAACAAGAGGCCCATGGGCCTTATAGGTCACCTGAGCATCATGCAACAACTTTCAAATGATTGAATTTGGTTCATGTTTTAAGCTAGATGCTATGGCATTCACAATTTTGAAAGAGGCACCATTGCTAATCATAAGTATACTTAGCAATTGTTAAGTTTGTTTACTTAATACCGATAAGCAGGGTAGGGGAACAAAAAAGTATGTCAACTAATCAGTAATATTCAGCAATAATCAGGAGTGCTCCTACCACACATGAACCCCTGACCCTAGGTCTACACATTGCACAATTTTTGAAAAGGCACACTTGCTTATCAAAAATGTTTGATTAATACCAAGGATCAGATTTCAAACAATTCATTTTCAGTATATAAGTAGAGCTCCCCCCTCCTCCCCATTTTGGTATCCCTGACCCAGGGGGCCTTGAAATTCACAATTCTGGAAGAAGAGCCCAATTCATAACTATGTAAATAGTTCATCTGCTTATTACCCAGGAGTAGAGAAAAAGATTTTCATAGATGTACTGTATTTTCACCATATAATCATTAAAGTGCCCTGCCCTAACACCAGAACCCCTGACCCTGGGGCCATAAAATTCATAATTTTGGTAGAGGCACTCTTGCTGAACATAACTATGTACTTAATTAGTTTATTTAAAACCTAGGAGCAGAGAAGATTTTCAAATATTTCATGCATTTTCACTATATAATCAATAGAGCCCCGCCCTAACACCAGAACCCCTGGCCCTGGGGCCATGAATTTCACAATTTTGGTAGAGCCACTCTTGCTCATCATAACTATTTACATAGTTAGTTCATTTAATACCTAGGAGCAGAGAAGAAGATTTTCAAAGATTTAATGCATTTTCACTATATAATCAATAGAGCCCCGCCCTAACACCAGAACCCCTGACCCTGGAGCCATGAATTTCACAATTTTGGTAGAGGCACTCTTGCTCATCATAACTTTTTATTCAATTAGTTTATTTAATACCTAGGAGCAGGGAAGAAGATTTTCAAAGATTTAATGCATTTTCACTATATAATCAATAGAGCCCCGCCCTAGCACCAGAACCCCAGACCCTGGGGCCATAAAATTCACAATTTATGTAGAGACACTCTTGCTCATCATAACTATGTACTTAATTAATTTATTTAATACTCAGGAACAGAAAAAAAGATTTTCAAAGAAATAATACATTTTCACTATATAATCAATAGAGCCCCGCCCTAACACCAGAACCCCGGACCCTGGGGCCATAAAATTCACAATTTTGGTAGAGCCACTCTTGCTCATCATAACTAAGAACTTAATTTGTTTATTAAATTCCCAAGAGCAGAGAAGAAGATTTTCAAAGATTTAATGCATTTTCACTATATAATCAATAGAGCCCCGCCCTAACACCAGAACCCCTGACCCTGGGGCCATGAATTTCACAATTTTGGTAGAGGACTCAATGCTGATTACAATCATACCAACAGTTTGACTGCTTGATGTCCGGGAGTAAAGAAGAAGATTTTTAAAGATTGCACTAATTTTAGTGGTTTTTGCCCCACCCCCCAGGCCCCAGGGGGGCTGGGACCATGAAATTCACAATTTTTGTTCCCCTTCACCCATAGATGCTCTATGCCAAAATTGGTTGAAATTGGTTCAGTGGTTTCAGAGAAGAAGCTGATATTGTTTAAATGTTAACGCACGACGCACACCGCACGACGGACGACAGACGACGGACGACGACGGACAAAAACAGATAGCAATAGGTCACCTGAGTTTACTCAGGTGACCTAATAATATAGACTAAGACGTAGGAAATCTAGTCACTGACAAAATAAGACAAAGAGGACTTGGTAATTTCTTCCAGATGAAGAATGTCTTATTCAACCATACACTTACTCAAACTCCTAAGCAGAGATACGAAAATAAACTTTTTGATTCAGAAAAATTAACAGGGTTCTACAGAATGATTACAAATAGTATTCCTCTCCTTTCTCTCCAAGTCCTCTATGAAGTAGAGTGACCTGCAGTTCAGACACCCTGCTAAGCTCCCCCAAGATGTTTTCTCATACTATTCTATTTACCTAAACCAACCAGTTCATCAGTTACCCCTGCCCTTTCCAAGAAATTCTGCAACAAAAAAATTCTTTTGAACCCCTGCATATTTTTTTTCTAAGGTTTTCTCTAGCAAATTATACTTCATGCTCTCCCTTTCTCAGGAACTCAGATGAGATGTCATTCCTTTTTTGTGACAAATTGGTTAATTGTCAACTTGCTCTCTAACCTCTGTAATGATGTTCTCTTTCAGTCCTTTTTCCAGTCCTGTAATAATTTTGCTGACATCCTCAGGCAGATAGCCATCAAATAACTTGCATTTCTTTTTCCAGTATCCCTGAAATATCAGAGGTAAGTTGTCAGTATGTGAATATCCCATTTTATTAAAATGTCCATGCAGTCTACGTCTTTAAGCAAATTTAATAATACTTTTTATAAAGTTGTCATTAAACTTCATCCAAAGATTTCTTTTAAGTTTCCAGGATGATGAATTACATTTAACAGGTCCAGTACAATCTCTTGATTTAGCTATATAGCTTTAATAGCTATATAGCTTTATTAAGCTATTCAGTATAGCTTAATTTAGCTATTTTACTACACTTTTCATAAAGGTGTAATTTTCTCAGTATGTACAAAAAAGCGCACCTTGGTGCCAGGGCTCCCACTGGACCGAAAATATTTTTCGCCACTTTTCGCGACAAAAGGAAAGGCATACTTACATCTGATTTCTCGGCATTGCAATGCACTTTATGTTATTCATTTTTTTTATTATGTTTATCACAGACATTGTTTTAAAATTGTAATTGTTTAAAACTTATGGTAGTATCCATTTAAAAAAAGAAAAGAAAGCTAATGTTGGAATTATACAATCAATTTGATATTGAATTGATATCTGACAGCCAACTCTTGACAGAAAATGTCCTCTTGTTTATATTTTTTTTCGCCTGGGAAGGGGGGGGGGGGCTACAGACCTAGTAAAAATATATGACATTTTTTTTTAATGGAAATTTCATTATTTCATTAATTAATTGTGAAAAGAAATAATAAAAAAATTAATGAAAATTAGGTTTAAAACTTGACTTTATTTTAACAACTTGGAGATTCCAGGGTTTAATATGCAAGCTCATATGTAAATGTAAATAATTCAGTGTAATTTAAAAAGATAATTCTGTTTCCAAACAAATTTTTTTTTCACTCGTTGTCAGTTTATGGTATAATGTACACATTTTTCAATTTTCATTAGGTAAAATTTGAAGCCATTCTTTACAATTTTCGTCATGTTTCCATACTTTCGGTTTAAAAAAATGATCTACATAGATCCAGATTTTGTTGATAAAAATCTTTTATTTGCTAACTTCATCTCCTAATAAAACTTTATCCCCCCTTGTTTAATCCAAATTATATTATTTCAAGCAATTTTGTAACCCTTTATTGCTCCAGGCTAATTACCTAGTCAGCTGTGTTCGTTCAAGCGAGACGTGATTTCTTAGATGTAGGTTTCAGTTTTCACACCTCTGCTGCATTAAATAAACAAAGCGACTTATCTGTATACATTGAATAAACAAAGGAGCTAACCAGGACTATACAAATTTTGTACATGGTACATCTAAAAAATTCATTTTCGCCACTTACGAATTTCTTTTCGCCACTTTTGAAAAAAAATCGCAATTGGCGACAATGGCGAATCACAGCTCGAGCCCTGCTTGGTGCAGTGACGATATGCAACTGAAAACTCTTCTTAAGATAATGCATGTAAAATTCACTCATCAAATTACGTCTCCTTGAGAGACTTTGTACTCAAAGTTTTACAAGTTTTGGGGCTATATAAAGCAATTGATACAGTTACTTCTGCAATGATATTATAATGGAGACCAATTATGTTCAACAAGATAATTGATTGGTAACAGTTCAGCACAATGAGAAGCAATCATACTTATCCTTTCCTCAAGGCACCTAAAGTAGTGGACAGTTAGTCTAACAATACAAATTCTCTTTTTGCTTAAAAGTATTCATAAGCTGCAAAGTTAGAACTATCTTTGATTTTGGTTGTTGATTTGATATCCCATATTACAAATATGAAGAGTCAAATACATGCGACTTTTTGTTGATTTTCAGCAAAGAACATTTTTGTGAAAAACTGTATATAAAAAGCTAAATAAAGCTATTTTAAATAGCTTAATAAAGCTATATAGCTAAATCAAGAGATTGTACTGGACCTGTTTAATGAAAACATTCTGTTTGTTTACCTTTTCTGTAAGATCACCATCTTGGAATTCTTCCTCCAGGTCTTTCAGCCTGAAAAAATATATAATTGCGATGACAAATGCCTATAATGTAAAATAAAGCGCAAATCTGACAGTGTCTTACTTTTCCACGATTTCTGTCGTGATCGGGGGTATCGTTTTCCCAGGCATCGTCTTCCTTGCTACAAGACCTCCGACAATGAGATGTTCCCGCTAAAATTTGGACTAACCTGTAAGAGGGGTGTTAGATTTTATTGAGTGAAGATAATTAGGCACATTCCCTATTGCTGAGATTAAAACAAAATGCTTGACTAAACGTTCAATTTCCGTACAGGATAGAAAATAATATTCATTTTTTAAACTGATTTACAGTCATTTAGTGATAAAATTTTAACCTAAATGAACCCTTCTGAAAATGGATTTTACCGGAAGTTAGAGACGTAAACAACCAGAGGGAATGTCTGAGCGCCAAGTTTAAGGAACAGCAAAAGTCATGTAAAGATCATAAGATGTCTTAAATGAGTGAAAAGCATATAGGTAAGAAATAAGGTTTAAAGGTTGAAAAATATTTAATCTTTTCTTGGAAACTTTATTTAGATCTCTTTTATTTAATTCAGAAATTATTTGGTCAGCAAGCGTTCAATATCGATTATGTTCTTCATGGTCTTACTAAAACTAAAAGATATCGTATTGCTTAATTTTTTGGACAATGATGGCAGATACACAGAAATTCATATTCATGCAAATAAGAAGTACAATGTATATTATAAGACGTGTACAAAGAAAAAAAGTTCCTTACCCGGTACCATGGAGCACTGACCAAAAATCAAGGCGCCCTGATTTAGGCCTACCTGGCGTATTGTATTTTCGACCTATTTAGATGTTATTTATTAATTTATTGTAAACTTTACAGAATCTGAAAAAATAAGGGCTTAAAATGTTAGCATATGTATCTATAAATAAAATGATATAACCCAAATTGCAGTTTTGTGTTTATTTTATTTATATGCCATAATATGGAGAGGGACAGTTTTCCTTACAAAAATATAAACGTCTTGTGTTTTCGACCTAAATATAGTATCAAGGCCAAATCAGTATTGGCTATAAATATCCATTGGATATTCCAAACAATAAAAATACGATTGTCTGTCTTTCAAAAAAACATTGAACAAGTTGCATATTTTGGTTGCAAATACATTTATTCGTTGGTTGAACCCATCTGTCAGTAGCTGTGCATTTCCCCAAAAAATCAATGAAATTACGTTGCATTTTTCAGTAAAAATCTGTAAGAAAGTGCTCATATTTAAGGATGAAAAAAAAAATTGTTTGATCCACCCATTCATTTCAATATTCATGCTTCTCTTTGACAGAGATCTAATTTTCTTTCGGAAAAATGTCATTAAAAAATCTTTATAATTAACCGATTACGACTTTAATTAATCAACAGATAAAATGTGCATTAGTAAAAAGACTAGAATTTCTGACATCGGACTAAAACCATCGGGGGAATTCCGTTGAATGAATTATTTTGGATATTTTCACCACATTTGTGCTTCAAAGGTATTTTTCTAAGTGTACCAACCGAAAATAATGTTCTACCGCGCTGAATCTGCACGGGAAGCAGATTGGGAAAAATAGGTCGAAAATACAATACGGTCGAAAACAGGATACGAGACGATATTATGATGGATAGGTATTCTACCAATTTATTTTACTGATGAATGAACCAATTTCATGGTACATGATGTAAGAATTGTTGGCAACTTTAGATTAGCCGTAGCGTACGTTGAAATCACAGGCTTTTGGATCGCTTGAAAAAAAAAATTGTGTGTAAAAAAAAATAAAGGTACTAAACTCTTACACCGGGTACCAAATTGCGCTGATAAAATATCTTTTGTTCACATGCTCTAAAATTCTACTTTCTATTTAAATTTATTCATAGATAAATATCTCTCATTTCTATCAAAGCTCATTGCGAAATTCCATATTTTTCTCAAGATATTCTGAAATTAATCTCAAAAATTTCTTTACTCGACATTAGCTTGGGCTCCTAGCCATTCACATGTAAACAGACGGTGTTTGAAGTATAGCGAAGAGTTGCATGGTATTTGCAAGATCTTTCAACATTTTAAAGTTGATTTCTTACTCCGGATTGTAAGGTTAAGTCCGTATTAATTCCTTTCGCGAAAAATTAACTTGAAAACGTCTGCATCAACAACTACACCGCCATGTTGATTATGAATGTAAAAGGAGCTATGGTCGAACGATTTTTTCCCGGAATGCATTATATACCTTTCGATTTTCAAAACAATTAGACCGCTTAAATGTTGTTTGTGACTTAGTAAGACCATATGATCAAATTAGAGAAAATCCATGTAAAGCATGAATGCAAATGAGAAAATATTCATTGAGTTTAGTATAAACTCTGGGGAAAATTTGTCCCATCGTTCCCACTTAAAACTTAGTGTAGCCCTCCGAAGGCCCAAGCTGATGTCGAGTAAAAAAATCAAGGTCAATTTTGGAATTGATTTCAGAATATCTTGGGAAGTATAAGGAATTACGGAATGAAATTTGGTAGTAATGAAGATTGTTTATATATGAATAGATATGGATAGAAAGTAAAATTGTAAAGCATTTGATTTAAAAGAATTTTATTGGCGAAAGTAGGTACCCTATGAAAAGAGTACCATACCTTTATTTTTTTTCAACACCTCAATTTTTTTCTAAGCGATCTAAAGGCCTGTGGTTGAAATAAATGAAACAATGTAAATAATAGTTTTTTCATCATGTTCATTATCGAAAATCATGGCTGTGGGGATCCGGGTTAGAATAGGTCCTCAGTACCCCCTTGCTTGTCGTAAAAGGCTACTAAATGGGGCAGTCCTTTGGATGAGACCATGTAACAGGTTGGGCACACACCGCCAAATGGTCATTTAACCCCCGTTTGGTGGTCAATCGCCCATATCGTCGTCTTTATTAACTACCAAATGGGAGAGAAAATCATTTTGTTCAGTTCTCTGGAATGACGTGTGATGGCGCATAATTTCAACTCACAGGGAATAAAATATAGATATTTATCTATGCTCTGAATGAAAAAAATCAGAATTTCAAGGCGGACTTTTTTGCGCAGTGTTGTTCAAATATTGGACAAAATCGTCACCTATGTATACAAGTGTAAAGTTTCTGTGTTTTAACTTAAAAAGAAAAATTCCCTCCATCTTGCGCGTAGTTGCACCTATCAATCGTGTTTATCACTTCATATTTTTGTCATCCGGGCAACCGATCAATTATCTAAACCAATTAAAAATGATGATCTTTTCCGAACTTGGGTCAAAAGACTGATTTAACTACGGAGACCCATTAGTGTTAATTTTCAAAATGTAAATTAAGAGGAAGGGTAAGAATTCTCTTTTATTTCGTTTATTTTGTATGCATTGGCTTTATTCTTTTTAAAAATAGGTATGCAGTGAATTCATGATAAAATAATCGCTTGAAAACAATAATCTTGGAATAAAAACAAGAATAATTGCAACTATCACTTTGTAAATCTTTCATTCAAAAATATTTAATAAATATAGTAGATACATCATAGATATGCATACTAAACTACAAAGGGTCACACAGAAATTGTAACTTCATCCTAAAAGAAAATAAAGAATTTCAAATGTAGAAAAAATGAATATTATTATAATAGCAATAAGTGCCCACCATACGAATAATATACGAGGAGCTCGTGTTTAACGGGATTTTATAGAGATTTATATATACGCAGATCGAAAGATCGTTTTGAAAAGTTACTTCTCTAGACTAACAACTCTTGTCTAAATATATTTTTTACCAAACTATACACAACAAAATAATTTTTCGTATTGTTTGAGCAAATAGTTCGGCTGCACGAACAGCTGTAGGTTTCGTTTTTACGAAGTTCCGCAGAAATTACACATGGAAAATTGACTAAATTGTATTATTTGTGTGAGGAATTTGTTAATTAAAATTCTCCAGTGCCTAAGTAAATACGTTTTGCTTTATTTTAATAAAAATTGGATTTGAATAAAAAAGACCACCATTCGGTGGGTAAAAAAGATGCCGATATGGGCAATTGACCACCAAACAGGGGTTAAATGACCATTTGTCAGTGTGTGCCCAACCTGTATAAACCGAGGCCCCGTGTCACAGCAGGTGTGGCACGATAGAGATCCCTCCCTGCTCAAAGGCCGCAAGTGCCGAGCATAGGCCTAAATTTGCAGCCCTTCACTGGCAATGGTGACGTCTCCATATCAGTGAAATATTCTGGAAAGGGACGTTAAACAGTATACAATAGCTGCAGATCTATATCTTGCTGGTCTGAAAAAAATTAGGATGGGCAACCAGAGTGCTCAGCTACAGTGCCACCCATAGCAAAACCTGTATATTTATTTCAGAAAAATGCTCTGCTTGGTTCTGGATTATTTTCCCCTTATTCTTACCCCTACTGCAATAAAGATAAAGTTAATAAAAAAATCCTTACTCCTCTATGAAATACTATGAAATGAGTGGAGATGCACACCAATTACAAAAAACCTTTGGTGTATGATATGCCTAAGAAATAGAATTTGTTGAGTTGAGCTTCTTTTTCTTTGATTACCTGTGTGTTTTTCTTTTTAGACTTGACATGTCGCAGTCCCAGTCCAGCTTCCTTGAGACAGTGGTCAGCTGGGACGGAACCCAGTGTCAGGTCAACCTGGACACAGCCCTCCCACGGCTCATCGTATCCTACTCAGAACTAGATGTTAATGAGGCAGAGTCTCATTATTTCTATCCTAGATATTTTAATAAATTTTCTTGAATTAATTCTTACTATTATATTGTATTCTACTCCTAATTTTAATTTATTTACAACAGTGTTATAAATGCTCAGAAAGCATCATGTATCTCAAACAACAAGATGATAAAAAAGTTCTGACTCACATACATCAAGAATGAATACTTTCGAAGTCATTTTACTATATTAAAAGTGTGAATTTCCTATACTTTATTATCAGAGATGTTTTCAAGAGGTGAATGTTGTTCAGGAGCAGATTGGTAAGAGAAGATGCTTAATAATATAGTGGTTAATAAGAGACTGGCTGTAACATGTACCATAAATGTTTTATATTAAATTTTTAGCATATTTTCATAAAACTGTTCATTTTCAGGAATTCTTAAAATCATATGCCATTCCTTCTTGCCATGTGTTGAAGTAGATCAAGCCGAGGAAAAACTTTTTAGCAAACTTATTGACGAGGTAACTACCTATATGTTTCAGTGATTTGATTCATAGTTGTAGTAATTTTAATTCAACAATTAAGAAGATAGTGACGGGGGACTGGTTGCACTGTGCTGTCCCCTGAATTCAGATTACCTTGTATTTCACATATATAGGCTACATATGTCCTTATTTATAACTCATTAACTTTTGTAATGAGGAGAAATTAAGGAGAGGATCTTAATTTCTGACAGGTGTGTGGTGTTTTTGACAAAGCTTTGGATGAAATACATCAGTACACACAAAGTACAGACAAGAAATCCAGTATCCCTGGGATCAATACAAACCTACAGGTAAAATAAAATAATTCCAACTCTCCAGCATTTTCAAAATTAGGCAAACAATACAAAATGATTTGTTTTATGTAGTGCTGGGTATCGTGAATGAAAAATCGTATCGCGATATATTGCAATATTTTATTTTGTATTGCAATATATCACGATATAAATTTTTTAATAATGTTTGCTTTTCGTCAATGTTAAATGAGAATACAAACTCAAATTACATGTATTCTCGAGTTGATATTGCAATTGTCTGATCATATTATGTCGGCGCAAGTGGCAAGCTAAGTTTTTTGTGGCACAACTTGAAGAATCAAGTTGTAATATTCAGATTCAGCTTTAACATCGCGGGATTTCAGTTGTCGTCCTTTTCGTTTCTGACAGAGACATGTCTCTGGTAAGTGGTTTCTGATCACATTTCACGTCGCTTGCCACCATATTTTACCTTGAAAAGGGCAAACAACTCTTTTTGTGACAATTTATAGCATATCGAACCCGAACCGGTATTCACAAAAAAAATATCGCAATACATATTGTGAAGATGTGATTGGGATACACCTGTATCAGTAATATTGCACAGCACTAGTTTTATGTACAGTGTACTCTGACTGACCCATCGAAATTGCCCCTACCCAAGCATCTCTTCAGAAATTAAATTTATTTTAATTTGGTTTCATTTTAGAGGTTTACAATTTCTCCCGAGATCACATTTGATTTTTTACAGCCATTTAAAATATCAAATCTGTCTTGACCAGCTTCTGTTAACCCAGGTAGTTAATGCTTTCAGAGCAAGTCCTACCTCAAATATCAATAAACTCTATTTGTGGTGATGCATCTAGAGATGCACACTGTTATATTTGCTGTATAAGCTGCATTTGACCTATATCTGGATTTTCTAGATGCTCAAATAGGTTAAAGTTTTTGGCAAGTCATACCATAAGTATGCACAATACCACACCTGCCTCAGATGCTGTATCTTCCCAACAGTTTCCAGGAGATTGAACTGTTCAATATCTTAAGCTGATCTTTTCTGAAGTAAAGTCTAAGTCACACCCAAACTATATTTGCATGTTGCATCTAGGAATATATACTGCTAGAAAATTCATTTGCTGTGAGACTTTGCATTTTAGATAACATTTCTCAGAGGCATAATCATTGATTACCTGTGATTTTAGGTTTTATTGGACCTGTTGGAGTTTCTGGAAACCTGCCTCTGTCACATGCAGAATGGAAATGTAGCTCTAGACTGGAGCCATATACACTCTCTACCCAGAGGGACCATTCACTTCCTCAAGGGGGCATATGGACATTGCAAGGTAATCTACCACAGGCATTGCTGTGGCTAATTTCTAATTAGGTCATCTTTAAAATAATGTTTGCTCGTCCTCGGACTCATGGTTTTAAAAAATTGAGTTGATATGTAGGTGGGAAAAATTTTTTTTTTCAAGAAAATCTTGAAATATTGATGGAATAAAAAAAAAAAAATTGCGGATTGAAAAGAAAATACCGGGTAAGTATCATAAATTGGGGAAAAAAAGATTGAGTTCATTGTTGGAACATTTTTTGCCAGTTGTTTGTCATTTTAGCCAGTTATTTGGAAGAGGGCAAACAAACAATTTTTAATATGGCCTTATTATTTTTCCCAATCTCCTTACAAAAAATTCTTTTCCAGTTTTATTTTACCTACTGAATAAAGTCCAGCTGCAATTTTTCACAAAAAATAAGTGGTGATGCATGAATCAGTTCAGAGATGGGTCAAAGTGTTTTACATAGAAATGCTTTTTAAAAATCTCATCAAAAATCATTTGACCAGGAAAGTGAAAGGCTTCCTAAAGTTCTGAAAACTGACAACAAGCCATATTGACTCCTTTATGGGATAAAAATGTTGCCTAGAAATCAAAAAATTGAAGAAAAAAAAAGATCTTGCTTTCTTGTCCAGAGAGATTTTTTTCATAGCCTGTTACAATTGATCTCTAATTCTGTATTTTGAAATAAAGGAAAAATGTTGAACATACCCATAAGTTTTGTTTACAAGACAAATAGTTAGCAATTCAAGTAAATTTTTTTTTCTAGATTTATTACTTCCCTTTGTACATAACAACAAAAATCTGAAGACATGATTAATGTTTCAGGTCATCTAATTTATAACATTATGCTGAGTGTACCAATTCTATGTCATTTGAATCAGAAATCCAAAATATACTTTGAAAATATGAAAATTGCAAAGGTCATACATATATTTATAAGGAAAAAAATGTGAATACATTTATACACTGAATCAGATGTAATGAACTAAGTCTTTTGAACATAAGATTTTTAAAAAATATATTTTGATTTTAAATTTGTAAAATGTAAATCCATCTCACAACAACACATTCATTTTACACAACATTTAATATTTACATTTTATCAAGTACTGTCATAATGAAAAAAAAAACCCAACCTGAATGGTAAAAATAATAAATATGAAGACTCTCCAGTACAATCACAAGTAATAGAGAATAATGATTTCTCTAAAGGTTAAACCAGCTCTTATGGATTCCATGACTTTGAAAGAATTTGAAATATTAACCTGATTAAAATGATATAAAAGAGACAACATTCAGGAAAAAAATCTTGGTAATAAGGCAAAGAAAAATTAATTTCTTGGTTCTCAGGCCCTCCCTCATCTCTTCCAAGGGTGCCTCATTGACCCTTTTTATTGCTAAATCAATAAAATATAAACACCAAATCACCTCCCTCATCATTTTTTGAGGTTTTGTACAATGTAAAAAGCTGCCTCATCATGTTTTGGGGGCAATAAAAGAGAAAGAAAAATGCCTCCCTCCCTCATCATATTTCTTGAAAAAAGGCCTGAGAACCAAGTAATTAACTTTGCATGGCCTAAATACAAGGATTTCAACAAGTGAATCAATGACAAAAACATATTCTGTTGAGACAGAGAGTTCTGATATATATTAATATATAACCCCACTTAGAAGAAGAATAAATTAAATATAAAAATTCAAGTGACATGGCAAAAAGAATAAATATATAACATGTAAGTAGATGTACTTTTGTCTTCATGAAATAGAATATGATGTTTGTGTAATGGCAAGGATTAGTAGGACTGGAGGTGTTATTTGTTGTTAAGGATTTGACTAGAACGGTCAATCTCATAGTAATTTGATTTTTTAAAAATATCTGTAGAAATTTGGTTAACATGATTATGGTTGTATGGAATACCCATATCTATATTTATGTGAACTGTAGAGGGATGTTATGAAAAATTATCACAGCATTTTCAAGTAAAAAATAAATTACACAATATTTGATTTATTTCTGACACTTTTCCTGGCAGCATTGGTGATGTCTATGTTTTATTTACAAATCACAGAGATGTGACCTTCATACAGTCCACCTTCTGAATCTTGAACAGGTATGAGGTGTCAGTGTTTCGCGATAAATTATTGGGAGGAAGGTAGTTTCCCTGATTGTCGAAGACAAGAGGATCCCCCGACCACGAACAAATTGCGTAATGTCCGTCTTCACTGTTTCCTTTTGTTCTGAATGCAAAATATGTGTCGTCATTTATATCTCCGAGACATGGGTTGTACGGCTGAAATGTAAATAAAACCATATGTAAAGTCAACTCACCTTAATGTTGTTAATACTTGGGAAATATTTTCTTGAATTTGAAAGATGAATTTAGAAAAAGCATAGCAGGGTTCAACACTAACGGTAGCCTGCTGGCCCGGGACAACTGAATATTGATTTATTGGTTGTATACCGTTTAACATCCCTCTCCAGATTATTTCACTGATATGGAGACATCACCATTGCCAGTGAAGGGCTGTAAATTTAGGCCTATGCTCGACACTTACGGCCTTTGAGCAGGGAGGGATATTGAGGTCGGGCTACTAAACATGCCTTTAAACTTGCCCTGCAGGGCTTTTGAAAATTTTAGGTCCGTACCCCTACCAGCAGGAGGGAGAACCCCCTGCCGCAACTTCCCCCCTCATCGCTTCGGGACTCGGCCACCCGCCTTCGGCTGATGGACAACTAATACATAAACAGGGCTAGTAGAAATAAGAAATGGCTAGCCCTACTGACAAGTATGGTTTTAAAGTTAGTGTTGATCCCAGCATAGTCTCTTAAACAAATAGTTGCTTTTAAATAGTCTTTTAAAATATGTTTACAGACAGACAGATATACAAATGTATAGACAAACAGAAGGCAATAGGCACTTTTTAACTAAAAGTGCATATATACTTCTATTCTGGGTTCACCAGAGCTAAAAATGACAAGAGCAGTGACTATTTAAGCGGTAGATTTAGAGAATTATGAGAGATAAATGTACCCTTGTTTTGAGTGCCGCGCCATCCATGTAAAGTATCCTCTGATTAAAACTGGTTCCCCAACCCACAATCTGATAACAGAATCCTTCATCTTGACGATGTGTGAAATTATGAATCACTCTCAGAAATGCTGAAATACAAATAACATTATAAACCTTTTAATATAGTACTATATTTTGATATGTCAGAAGTCTTTGTGAAAAGGTCCACAGGCTTTCACTTTAATGGGATCACAGTTTTATATTGGCTAGAATATATACAATTAAATTCTTAAAGCAATATGAACTGCAACTTTGATGTCGGAAAAGTTTTGATTTCAGAATTGTAATTAACTATTTCAAGAACAGAGAAAAAGAATATTTATCATGTTTATAATCTTTTGTTGTTCTTATTTGCGATGGAAGAACTTTTTATAACCAATGATTGAAGCAAATTTGCATTATTGTCATCCTGTACAATATTGATTTCTTAAATAATACTTTATATTTGATTGTAAAGAAGTCTTTCTTCTGAAACAATTTAATACTTTATTTTAGTCTAATTGAACATAAAGGTTTAAATTACATACAAATCTATCATTATAACAAATTTTAACATGTTTAATGGCAAAATAAAATTCCCAAAGATACAGCTCATATTGCTTAATCATATTTAAAAGGACATTTATTGATGAGGCAGAAAACCTTTGTTAGTTTGATATATTTTAATAATGTATCAATACGTGAAATGATGATACATTTTCATGAAGTTCTACATTAATGTTATGATGTAGCATGTTATTCCAGAGATTCATGAATGATATTATATTAAATTTACTTTGAATACGCAATAAGATCACTTATGTAAATACACCACTAACATTCCTTCTCACCATGTATCAGTATCTTTGTACATGTATGAGGGTTGTCCCGTAAAATCGTGGACAAAGCGTTTTTCTCGAAAAATAATGGACGTAATAAGCTGAAATTTTCAGTGAATGTTTATCTATCATATTTAAGTTAATTATAATGTTTTGGATAAAATATACACAAAAATATAGATTTTATAATGCTTGAATGTGCATAGGGTAAGGCCCTACGGCGCACAGTCAAAAAACGAAGGTTTTATAAGAGAATACAGGAGTATTGATTTGAAACAAAAGATTTAAATATTTAAGATTAGGGTAAAAATTATCCTTATTCAATTCCACAGCTTATTTTGTTGTCTTCTTAAAATTTTCAATGCATTTGGTCAATTTTTGACAGTTTCCTGAACATTTGAAATTGGAAAGTGGTAAACACAACACACGAAAAATGGTTACGTTTGGTAACGTTACAGCGCACCGGAGATCAGTTCGCTATGATTTAGATGGTGTAATAACGCCGTATAAAATTTTAAATGAATTGGAAGAAAAAAATCCCCCTCTCAAAAATGCCAAATCTTTAGTATATGAATGAGATGGGAGTTTTTTGAGTAAAGTCTTTCTTGATCGAGTCCCGAGGTAGTAAAGACATGCAGATAAATTTACAATTGTAATAGCTAAAGACGCTGTCAATATTGACCGCGTCAATATAAGATTGTCTATTACTTGAATGATGTTGGAATATTGTCCGTATCTTACTAATAAATCATCAGAAGATCGTACATTTGTGCCGGATTGGTTCCTCAATTGTTTATGGAGATTAAGTACGTGTTTCAATGAAATTTCGAAATTTAAGTGGGACTTTTCAACTTTAGTTTTAGTGCAAAAATGAAACTCGAGGTACCTGACGCTGTTTTAGGCACTTTGACGTTATCATCCCTGCGCCGTAAGGCGATACAATACATAATATTAAATCTCATAATTCCTTTATTTATGCATATATCTATTTGAAATTTGCTATATCTATTCAGAAAATATGTACTAAGAAGTAGTGAAAATTTCGGAATGCAGTGATGATTATTATTCATGCAAGACAACTTGTCCACGATTTTACGGGACAACCCTTGTATATTACTATGTATGTTAACAGTAATTAAATTTTTATTGTAAATATATTTTGTTATCTCTGTAAATGATCCAAAATTTTATGTTCCTGACAATTTTTGGCTATGTGAGTATGCATATTGCTTATCTACGGAATCTATCAAATGTACAGTGGACAATCAATCCTGTGGTAGTTACTTTATTCTGTCTGACTTCCTCCCCCACCTTCCCCCCATTGCCCATTGTCCACAACTTACTACTGGGGTCCTTGCTTTGTCCATTGGTTCTGACCCCCTCCCAAATTTTCCACAATTTTCTTCTGGGGTCCTTGCTAAGACAGCTTTGTCCATTGGTTCTGACCCCCCCTCCCCCCCCTCCCCGTCTACAACTTACTTCTTTGGTCCTTGCTTTGTCCATTGGTTCTGACCACCCCCTCCTTGTCCACCAACAGGAAGTGTCCGCGCGTACCGTTGATGTGGTACTGAAGTTGTAGGATGTAATCCTGCAGATGGATGTCAGGTTTGTCCTGAGATGTGACGTGAAGTAAATCCTTCTCTGTCTTCACTTCCGTCACCTGATAATAGTCAACAAAAGGGCATTGTGAATCTGCAATAGTTTGCTCGACCCCCTCCACTTGCAAGAACTTAATACAGTCAAGCCTTGTTTTCTTGAGCTTGATGGTACCTTAAAAATACTTTGAATAAATAGTTGGGATATTAGAATCACTGACATATCCATAGTATTTGAGATATCAGTTTTTGAGACACCGAAATTCAACGATATTCAATTAAGTCTTATGATACAGTGTATGTAGATTGTATATATGTATTGAAGTAATTGATGGATTGATTTTAATAAGAATTTTATAAAGAAGTATGAAGTAAAGTCTGTCAATAATATTTATACTTCAAGCCATGTAAACAGTTCTCCCAACGACATTGCAGCACACGAGACAAAAATAATAGTACCAGGTTTTCTTAGAACTAAATTGCAGACCTGGCTTGTTTCCAGAGATATAACAGCATCATTGATTTCTGTATTACAATACAGATATGGTTAAATAAACAATGAGGGTCCCCCATTCCTCTACCATTTTTCAAATTCTACATTTCTGTCTCAAAAGCAGTAAGTCACGACAAAGTCAGTTACTTTGTATCATTGCCATGGTGTTTTACACAAAGAATATTGCTAAAACTTATCACTGAATTATTTACCTGTATGTAAGTAAACAATTAAAAGTGTAACAGAGATATTGATTAAACAAGTCACAGATAAAGGGACTGTTCAATAATGTTATCAGACTGGGCCTTTGATGTGGAGGTCAGCTAAGGTCAGATTCCCACCATTCTACAAATAATGGGGGGAAAGTTTACTGTAGATATTATCTATATGGGTACAAAGTAGGGAAAAGTAAAAGGGGGGGGGTCTTAAAAAATTCACTTCTGTAAAATCACTAATTTGAATTTTCATGGGGGTTTAATTTTTGTGGTTTTTGAGGTATGAAGAGACCCACAAATTTTTGTCCACCGTGAAATGTAATATTTTAAAGATATTGCTACTTTGGAAAATATTACAGAGAAAAGTTATTGGCAAAAACCCCAGTTTAAAAAGATTCCAAAATAAGTTATCAATAGGTAATGTATTGGTAAAATGTCAACGCAACATACATGTATCTATTATCATTCGGAGCAATTGAATCGTCATTTATTTTATAAAATAAAATTCTTAACTTATAAAAGTTAAGACTGAAATCCTTTGTCTTAAAGCTGTAAATCAGTTTCTTCATCTGCTATTTATAAATGTAACATTATTAAATTCTTTTGAGATATGATATTAAATTTAAATGATATACAGTTAAACCTGAAAATCTCTATACAGAGAATATAAACATACCTTAATATCCTTGATTCTGAAGGCATCTTTCTGATTTTGGATAAACTCATAAGGATTTGAGATCAGTCTCGGTACATTAGAATGAGATGAGGTTCGTGAGTTGAGAATCTCCATTGTGACTTATAAACTCAAACTGAAATAAAAAGCAACATTCAAACAAATGCGTGAGATTTTATAAAGTGACTGCAGTGTGTAGCCACGTGTTTATATACACAGTGGTATATACAGGGATGAACTTTTCCGCAGAGTTCAAACTTGATAAGTTTAATATTTGTACAAAACTCGACAGAGTTATCAGCTTTGTAAATTTTTCTGCACAAAGTTCACTATTCAGAGATCATAAAGTTATAAGGAATTTAAAATTGCAGGTATGAATGATCTAAATAAAAATGCAAATAAGGAGCATTTAAAATTGGTTCACTTTTTATGTAAAGTATATGCTCCAAGCTGTCACAGGAATGAACCATGCATAATCATTGATGAAATACTTGCCTGACTTATTATGAATGGCCTCCTTGAATGCTAGCTTCTTACTCTCCATGAAGACATCAACCCCTGGTGTTTTATATATATTCACTTCCTCTAGGACTGGGGGCTTCTGATTTAATTTGACACTTCAAATATTTATAAAAGCAGGATTCCTAGAGTTGCAAAATTGTCCTAATAACCCAGCATTTTCTGTAAATGTCAGATCCATTTAAACGTCAGAAGGGATTTTCCAGTCCTTCGCTAGTAACAATGAGGTCACAGATGTGCATGAGTTAACGCTAGTTTTTTAAAGAAATAGCGAGCAAAACACAGTTTGCAGAAAACCTTGTATTGATTCATTTTTCAGTGAAAATGCAGCTGCATGTTATATTTTCTGCACATGAAGCAAAAAACTAATCAGCTTACTGACTCGATTCAAAATATTGAAGGTCAGATCCTTCAGAAGTAATTTTTTTTTAAATAAATATGTTTATACTTGTACATGTATCAGATATAGATTTAAACCTACAGAAGGTCTATCCCTAAAATTAATGAGGGAAATCCAACTATAGGATCATCCAATGGCAGCTGAGAGGGAAAAAAGATATTTAGGTGCGAGTGGGTGTAGAAAATTTGAGCTTTAATACAGAGACAATATTGATCATATAGATTAAACCTACAATAATGGAAATTCTATCTTAAAAATTTGCTCTGGACTTACAGTGGTCCTGTCATACCCCCCCCCCCCTCCTTTAAAAAAAATATTCTCTGATCAAAAGAGTTGTTCTGTTTTTGACAAATAAGCTGTGTTTTACTTTAAAAATATGCAATTATTTAATTCTAGTAAGTCTATGTAAAGAATGCAAATAAAAAAAATGTGATTTTATTAGATTTAATTTCTTTTTTGTTCCAGGACAGTGGAGATATATACCAGGATCTATTGAGTTCCCTGTCAGCCCCTCTCTCCACCCTCTTCAAGAAAACTCACTCCTTACAAGTGGTAAGTAAACTTCTGATGAGCTTCATGTCAGCTCCATTCTCTAGCATCTTCAAGAAAACTCTTAGTTCTAAGTAATCTCCCCCAACAACATACAAAACATGGTAAAAAGTGATAGATAGAGAATACAGAGGTACATACAAAACATGGTAAAAAGTGATAGAAAGAAAAATATAGGAACATGGTCTGCATATTCACGCCTGCTAATCGATCACTTGCACAACCAGCAGTTGTGTATAACAATCAAAAGAGATCGATTTCCGGTTGTGCAGTTGATGCGAATAATTCCAGTGCACAGGTAGGAAATGGACTCGATTCAGGCAATAATTGATATTTTTATTAAAATATAAGAATGTGATTCCATGAGCAATTTATTTTTCTTTAATTTTACACTCTCATAAAATGCAGTGATTGTCGATTAGCGACTATATTTGTTTTGAAGCAAGGGCTGGTAGAGCGAAAACGCTGATTGAAATCAGTATTCGCCGACTAAAGTTCGTTTTAATCTCAACCAACCTTGAAAATTCAGTGTCCACTATGAGTATGCTACAAGTGCATCCTATCCACCAAAACTGGGACTTCGATATGTGTTCAATTTGACAAATATTCGAAGAAAAAAACATTGCTTGTGCATGCGATCATTCAGTTGTGAAAGAGATCTCGGGTTATGCATGAGATAAAGGATAAAAAGTTACGCAAGTATTATACAATCTCGATAACTCACCTCTTATATTTTATTTTTGGTAATTATAAAGTGTTGAATATAGTCTATAATATGAAGACATCGCAGGGGCAGATCCAGCAATTTTTGAAAAAAAAAGGGGGGAGGGGTTGTCCAGGTGTCCAACACTCAAGCATATAGGCACTTCAAACATGGCAACACTGAGTTTTCAACAGTTCTATGAGGGACTTTGACAAGCCAATAACAAACAAACAAAACAAAAACACAATCAAGCAAGTTCGGGCTCGGATTGCATCTGACGGTACTCGGAGGAAAGCATATTAAACGAGGGAACTTTATTTATAGCGATCAGAAAGGACAGAGATTGAACGACATGTACAGTGTATTTATTTTATTCGAAATTTTTTTTTATTCAAAGTATTTATTTTATTCAAAATATTAGACGTAATAAAATATCTGTTTTACATAACTCTCTCCAATCAAATAGAGGGGGGGGGGGGGGTCCAACCCCAGGAACCACCTTCTAGATCCGCCAATGATGTACAGTCATTTTTGCAAGCACATTTTGACTTTTTCAGCAGCAGCGGCCGATCTCTTATATCGGGAAATGAGGCGTTATTTTTCATAAGTTCTGTAAACTAATCTTAATTTTAAAAACTTTCTTTAAACTGAGCATTTATTGTTGTTGTTACAATTTCATTGTCATTTCTAATTGGGTAATTAATAATATATGGTTATATAGAAAGAGTTTACAATATGTACTCCCTAAGCAGGGAGTAATCAAGATATGAAAGGAAATCGCCATGATTTTCCAGATAATAATGAAGTGGTTAAAGTTGCAAGGTGAATAAAAATTGAAAATTTTTTAACAACACTGTAGTAAAAATTGTTTTGAATGTGCTATAGCTGCAGATCTGTAGCATTATGGTTTTATATACATGTATTTGTCTTTGACCATAACGCTACAGAGCCTGTAATTTTGCGCGCTTTTGGGGAGAATTCCTCTACTTTCAAGCATTGGTCAATCAACTACCTTTCACACCCTAATTCTACACACATTCTGTAGCCAATATGTATATTTTATACACCTCCCAACCCTTTATACTCGTCTCTACAAGTGATAGACTCGCTTGATTAAAATTATTTGTTATATTGCTGAAAATTAACTTCTAGGGATTTTATTGCCTGTAGAGACAACTATATATGGTTGAAAGGTGGATAAAATATACATATTGGCTCAAAGACAAATATATAAAACCATAACGCTACAGATCTGCAGCTAAATGTGCTACAGATGTGACAACAAATATTTTTCTTACATTTTTTCCATCAAACTACGCGCCTTGGTTAGCCTACTGCAGAAACCATGGGTATTACTAGTATCACGTGATATAGATCCAGGGTCTCGGCATGTGGTTCATCTTGAGAGACCTACATCTTCATTCATACATTATTATAATTCATCATTGACTTTTTTATTGATTTATTGATGACTCTATTTGATGAACAAATGCACTAAAATTTTCTATTTAATTAAAAAACCATTTTATTTATTTTTGCTTTGAAGACAGTCTGAAATGAAATTGATCTATTTCAGCTTTGAATATTTTGTGCTTCCCATGCATTGATGCTTTTGAAATAAAGAAAGTAAAAGTAAAATAGTAATTTTTGAAATTATAAATTTTGCGGCTGATTTGGTGCTTTACATTAATTTTATTTGGAATGTTTAATAGGGATATTTTTTATTGAACGATTATTTTGGATTTTTGACGATTTTTCCCCTATGGTATACATGATGAATAAATGTAATAAATATAATTTGTGAGAAAAAAAGTGTCCAACAAGTCCGGGGGGGGGGGGGGTCCTGTCCAGAAGCACCTGTAATGTGGTGTTGTCATCTTGATCCTTTCCATCTCGATAACAAAATTCAGGACACCCAGCTTCAAAACACCAGGAAATATTTACCCCTTGGCAAACGCATATCATCGAGAGCCTGCCTCTTATTTTTTTCACAGACGGCACTTTTACTATAAAATACATGTATATATGAAATGAAAGCATGAAAAATTCGGTCTTTCCCTCCACTTTTGTTGAAGTACCGTCAAATAAAGGTAAGGTATGGTTGAATTAAACAATTTCGTACTGAAAGAAAATGATATACTGCCCAGTATATGCTGTTTTTTTTTATTTTATTTTATTTTATCTCTTTTTTTTATTATTAATTTTTTTTTTGCATACGGAATAATCATATTAAAGATGCATTGGATAATTCAGACAAGATTTATGATTTAAATAATACACACATAAATTTTTACTGTAATTATATTGATTGTAACTGAAACTTTAACCCCCTCCCCTAACAGATCTACTTCAACAGTTTACTTATATACCTTTTTTTCCTCACAAATTCAACTTATTTGCAAGAAAATTCTATAGTTTTATGTTTTAAATTTTGCAAGACTACGTTATAATTATATATTTACATTTGCAAATGTTTTCCTTTACATAACACTACTGAAGGCAAGCGTTTTTATAACTGTGTAAATACAGGTTTGGGGTCAAGAGGTCATAGATGTGCGTTTGGATAAACGTTCCACGTAATTTCTCTGTGACGTCATAAAGGGTCGACGCGCGTTTAGTAGATTACATACATGCCGTTGGGTTTGAAAAATTAACGCATTTCACACGTTAAAAGTAACAATCAGGCAAATATAATGTATGAATAAGTTACAAATGTAAATATAAGTAATAAGGTATCATTTTTTGAGTTTTATTGAGATGTAAAACGGGTTGACACATGATCAAATCTTCCATAAAGCCCTTCGGGCTTTATGGGATTTGATCACGTGACCAACCCGTTTTACATCTCAATAAAACTCAAAAAATGATACCTTATTTCTTAAATAATGTTTAATTTTATTCGTAAAGTTTGAAACTTTTTGTCCTTCATCTCATGCACAACCCGAGATCTCTTTCACAACTGAATGATCGCATGCACAACCAATATTATTTTCTTCGAATATTTGTCAAATTATACACAAATGGAAGTCCCAGTTTTGGTGGATAGGATGCACTTGTAGCATACTCATGGTGGACATTGAATTTTCAAGGTTAGTTGAGATTAAAACGAATTTTAGTCGGCGAATACTGATTTCAATCAGCGTTTTCGCTCTACCAGCCCTTGCTTCAAAACAAATATAGTCGCTAATCGACAATCACTGAATTTTATGAGAGTGTAAAATTAAAGAAAAATAAATTGCTCATGGAATCACATTCTTATATTTTAATAAAAATATCAATTATTGCCTGAATTGAGTCCATTTACTACCTGTGCACTGGAATTATTCGCATCAACTGCACAACCGGAAATCGATCTCTTTTGATTGTTATACACAACTGCTGGTTGTGCAATTGATCGATTAGCAGGCGTGATATTGCAAGGAGCACTGTTAGAATAAGCCAAAACTGATTTCTACTGAGGATTTTTTCTTCTTGCAAATAAACAATCATACGTGTTGTTTTGTACAACTGAAGTATTCATTGCTGCCCTATTTTAAGTCGATTGAAAAGATTGATAATGTTTGTTAGCTGATCTGAGCTGAATGTTCAATGTAGTTTTTCCGATTGAAGAGTGTCTGGTGTCCGTCCGTCCGTCTGCCTGTAAACTTTTCGCATTTTCAACCTCT